CAACAGAGATAAACTTAAAAAAAAACTCTCTAACAGCTCAGAGAACAGGATATTTATATAAAGATGTCCTAACAAAAGAAAAGCATGCAAAACTACCTTAAATGGATAAACAAACTCCCTGTTTGCAGAGTGCCCTATTGAGCTCAGCTCTCAGAAATCCCCTCCAACCCTCAGTCAACAGGGTCAACATATCTCAGCTGGGTTTTACATTTTTATACAAACCTCCCCAGCATCCTTTGTTCACCAACCTTTAAAATCAGGGAAACTCAAGCAGGTGTGCCTTTAAGGCCCATTTTGCTGCTAGTTCCTTTAGTTTTGCTCTCCCAGGCAGTAAGATATTTAAGAGGGTTTTTCTGTTGTGTTTTTGTTTGGTTGGTTGTTTGTGGGGATTTTTGTTGGGTTTTTTGCTTGTTTTTTACTTCTGCCTCCATCTGCAAAGGCTGCACTGCAGGTCCTCCACAGCCCTTTTGAGACACACCTTGTAAAAGGACAGCAGTTCTGTGGAACACATACAACAAGCAGTACCTCCTCCTGTTATTTCAGCTTGGCTCTCTGGAATTTGCTGCTGTTTGTCACACTGCTGCCACAGCACACTTTGAACTGGCTTCCCTCTCCTCCCAAAGTTATTCTCTCCCTCCCTCCCAAGACAGCAGCAGTGCCTTTATCCACTCAGGGCTCTGCCTTGCACGTACTGAAGGGAAAAACACAAATCCACAAACCCCAAACCAACCCACAGCTGCTCTTGCATAAAGAACTGGGACTGCCCAAGGTGACAACTGGGCTACCTCACCTAAAGCTGAGTGTGTGGTCCCCAGGTGGGGTCAGGTTTGTCAGGGGTTCCTTTCAAACTCAGCTCTGAGACCTGAAACAACGTCAACAACTAAAGCATCACTGCCACCTCCACCTGAACTCAACACAAGCAGAGTTTGAATTGCCTCAGAAAAGTCCAAGAGGACAGGGCCAGCCAGGGCTACCTGCACAGCCAAGACTGACATCTGAAAGTGACTCTCAGTCTCCTTCCAAGACATCTGTGAGTTACAGACAGCCAGTCATTCTCCATCCCCTTTGTCTTCAGGAAAGTTTAATATTAATTTAGCTCCTTTTGGATCTACTTCTAAGCTAGAGGCCAGGCCATCTGCAATATTTTCACAAGTGACAAACTGGATTAAAAGCACACGGAACACCCACTCTGGACTCACTCACTTCCAAACCACGGGAATTCAGGACAGAAGGGACACCAGATTTACTGTGAAGCTGCAACCTGCACACTGACATGCCAGTGAAGGAACCCACTGAACAGAGGGAAACTGGACAAAGCACTTCCTTTTCTTTTGTGCTGTCCCTTCATTGACAATAACGTCCTCTAAGCCATCTGCTGGAGTCCTGTAACAGGAACGGAAATGGAAGAGCTCCAGTGGGAACTCAGGGGTTTCTTTCTTTTTCCCATGAACTGAACATTATGGAATTTTAACAGATGTTCTACTTGGTCATAGTTAATAAAATGAATTATGCAGGAATTAAAAATCTGGCTCCATTTGCCTATATAAGATCTCAGCAGCAGAACTCCATTCCCATTTAGGAATTCTAAAGGATTTGCAGTGGATTTATAGTCTGCTCCTGCCTTATTATGAGATGGCTGGAAATTTTACCAGTTAACTTTTCTCTGTTGTGGAAAACGTGAATAGATTTACCTGTTCATTGATTGATCTTAGCAGCATGATCCAGTTTCCACAGTGCTGCACACTGGTACACTACAGCCATTGGAAGGGGCAATTCTCACTTGGATTTGCTTTGGAAATGACATCATGGGAATTCCACATCATTTCACAGCCTCTGATTTCTGCCATTTATTCAAAGTCTCATTGAGCAACCTAATAACCATACTCCCACTTTGTGCTTTATTACAAAAGCCTTCCTCTTGGAGCACAGATGTCTCTTTCAGGCTTCTGCTGCCAACTGAATGATGCACTGTACCTCACCTCCCTTTCCATTTTAGGATTATTCATCAAAGGAAGATGTAAAGACCAAAATGTAATGGAGATGTAAGAGAAGAGGCACCAAAAAGGTGAAAAGAGTCACAGCCAAAACTTTCAAGCCTGGAGGTTCACTCAAAGTTATTTCCAAAAGCATTATGTATTTAGCCATCTTCCTTCCCTTCTAATACCCATCTGCTCAGAAAGCATTCTGAGAAGATAAAGGGGATAAGTCAGAGTGAGAATCAAAACTGAAGGATGAAACCTTGCACCAGCAGAGCAGCTAAAGCCAATTACATGGAGCAGAGTAAGGCTGTCCTGAAGAGATCTTCTGTACTAAAGCAAGAAGATGAGGCTTCCACACCACACTCCATTTATAAACTGACTTATTTTCACTGAAATTCAATCAACTGGCAAGCAGATCCCTGTCCAGAAATCTTCTTGATATAATACACAAAATTTTATCCCAATGTAGCAGCTAAAATTAACCTTTCTTAAACTCCAGCTCAAGAACTTTGCCAATGCAAGAATATAATCATCTGAAAAGCATCAATATTCCCACTCTTCCATCTTTTTTATGAAAAGTCATGTATTGAAGACCCTCTATCCAAAAATTCCCATCCCATTATAACTAAACACAGGGGTTTGTGTAGGTAGAGAGCCAAAGCATGTAAACAAACCTTGTAAGTATAAAAGTCAGCTGGAATTAAGTACCACCTGATACATGCTATGTAGCTATCAATATGTGCCTAATAATGAAGTAATATAGATTTTTATCTGAAAATAAAGACCCTAAAGGAAGAAGTGTACTCAAAGAGAAGAAAAATACCAAGATTAAATGTCAGGCTTACAACAGCTCCAGCTGAAGGTGCAAAAAGCTGTTATTCGAGTGGACATTGCTTTACAAAATTTAGTGTCAGAAAAATGCAACAATCTTAGTGTTAAATTCAAAGATTTTTTTTTTTTTTACTTTTTAAACATCACCTATGATTTGCTTCATTTTTAAGAGAAAGCACATTTCATTTAGTAATCATTTATTTCTCATTCTATTGGACAGATTCTTCCAAAAAGCAATACTTCAGCTGAAATCAGTTCTGAAGGATCTTTTATGAATACACATAATGAATAGGACTCCCATTAAATTTCCAACAAAGTGTTGCCATTTTGAGTAAACAAAGTTATCTCAGCAGGGTCACACACTGTGCCATGAATATGGTCTGCAAATTAATTACCACCCTGACATATGTCAAAACAAATTTTAAGGAGAATACCACACAGTAGCAACCATGTGCTTTATCTACCTGTTAGTATGCAAAATCTGTACTCAATGGCATCTAAATTTATTCATTTATTCAGAACCCCTCTGAGAAATCAAAATTATTCGTATTCATTCACCTTTTATGCTCATCAGCAAATGAAATCTGAGTGAATAACACGTTTAGTGAGCCAGAAAATAAGTACGGGACAAAGCTGTGGTGGGGGCTACATTTCAGAAAAGCAGGTGTCATCTTTGCACAAATAACTAATTTTTTAAACTCTCAAAACTGCTACAATAAACTGCAGTGCACTGACATTTGTCAGGAACTTCAAGGAACACCAAGTTTGATGTTTCTTGTTTTAGGTAAAATACCCATCTTTATTCTGTACTTGTAACAAGAGCTGGCCAACATAACTGTCCTGAAAACTGTTTTCAGGATGAAGAAATGTTTTAAAAAGCAGAGCTACTGAATGAAGATTAAAAAGCCTCTACAACTGGCTTTATTATCAATGGCAACACAGACAACAAATCCGAGCCCGTGTTTAAAACAAAAGAGGGAAGATCCAAACCCACCTTTAAGTATCCAAACCTAACCTTTATTCACTTGAGTTAGATAAGAAGACAAACCCACACACCAGATCAAAAAGGAGCCATGGAAAGCCCTTCCTGGACACCAGTGGATGTGTCCAGCCACATGCCAGGAGAGAATTCCTGCCTGGGAGGGTGGGGAGCCCCTGGCACAGGGTGCCCAGAGAAGCTGTGGCTGCTCCATCGCTGGAAGTGTCCAAGGCCAGGCTGGACATGGGGGCCTGGGGCAACCTGGGATACTGGAAGGTGAGGGTGGAACAAGATGGGTTTTTATGGTCCCTTCCAACCCAAACCTTTCTGTGATTTTATGTTTTCCTAGGAACCAGTTGGTGTCTCTATTTCAGGTACACGCACATCGTGCAACTTCTGTTTTGTCAAAAGATGATCTCTTGGGATCTGATACTGAAATAATTTTAAACAGGGAGTTTATCAGTAGGTTTTTCTACTTATTTTATAGACTTCCCTCAGTTCACACAGGATATCAAGCACTTCCACGACACTAATCCTGGAATTCACAGGACATTTATGAAAAGATTTTACTTTAGGAACTATTTTCCGAGTGGGCCAAAATATTTTTAGCCCTATTTTTTTTTCTAACAGTGAAATACTTCTGATTTAGAGTTAAGTAATGCCATATCAAATCTACAGACTAAATGCATTTCTTTCACACATTAAAAAATAAGGAAAAAATAGAGAGAGCACAATCCTCTTTATATACAGATGACAAATAATCCCTTGGCATCTGCTGACGAATATATTTAAAGAAAGCCTAAATCTGTCTGTGCTAAACTTGGCCTGATGCCACCAGTTCACCATTGTTGGCATATATAGTTCACATGATGCAATCACAAGACTTGAGAAAGTTTCCAGTACTTTAGTTTATGGTTTTCTCATGTTAATATATACCTTTCCATCCTTTATAAATTCAGCAGCAACAGAACTGGGAGACAGGGTGGTAAATGAATTTTTTGCATGTATCAAAGGTTTTCTTAGTGCTCATTATCAGTGTTCTATTTAAATTACAGGCTGGTAACTTACCTAGAATGAAATATGCTGGGATTTAGAGCTTAAGGTTAGAGCAACTGATCTCAATTGTACTACTGTCTCTTGTTAGAAAACTGAGGCAAAGGAAGCAATTAAAAAAAAAAAAAAACTAAAAGAGAAAAAGACAAGTGTTTTACCTCTCTTAATACGGTGCTTTTATAACCCCGATAAAGTCCTTGAATACCCTGTAAAGCAACAAAAGAAAGCATCATCCAGAGGAATGAGTTTGTCAAAGACCACAATTTATTGGTGATTATGAGGCAAGCATTACAGCCCTAAAGTGTCACACCTCAGCTTCAAACTGACTGTATTGATTATAACACTGTATACTGTATTCCATTATTTACCGTGCCAGAGGGCTTTATTTTCACCTCCTTAGCCTTGATTCAGAGCCTTTATCAAGACAAATGTTTTATGTTTTTAACCAGCTGAAAATACTCAAAACAATTAAAACTTATAAAATAAGTGTATATAAAATTATGTTGTTTATTATTATAGGGCACTTAAGTGTTTGGCAAGGCTATGGTTCTCTGGCCAGCTATATGGAAAGGGAGAAACATATGGTTTTGACAGAATCAGCTTTTAAAGCAGAATCAAGTGAGAGAAAGAAGTTCCAGTGACCCTCTTGTACAGGGTTATCACAACAGTTTCCATTTGAAAGCAAATAAAAATCAAGTGGATCATTTGAAGGTCATATTTATGTCTTCCTTTCCCTGGGTTTTACACTAAGAAAATGTATTATAATATTTTTCCCCACACTGTTTATAGGAGCTGCTTTCTCTTATGGAACACAGCTTGAAAACCCCCCCTTGTGAATCTCTGCTAAAACGGACGTGAACAGGGTTTCACAGGAGGGATCAGCATAACTCCTGAAAAGAAAACAAAGGCCCTTATTTTTCAAAAGTAAGTAATACTGGATGAGCACTCATTTCCAGAATTCCTCCTGGCTCTGAAATGGTGCCTTTTGGACATCCCCTCCAAAGCCTGCTTCAAAAACTGGGAACCATTCAGCAAACTACACACAGAGACTCGATGTGCTGCTGCCCTAGACAAGGACTGTTTGCATAAATACAAGCAGAGCTTTGGAATCTGGAAGTTAAATCCCTTTTTTTTTTTTCTTTTTTCCCCCTCATCTTTAAATGCAGGTATCCCATATAAAAAGATGAGAAAAAAAGAGTTGCTTGGAGCATGCCCCAGGGGGAGGTGGGGGCTTAGTTTCCTTGATCATAACATGAGAATAGATGGAAAAGTGCTGGGAAAGCACAGAACTGGAATAAAGTTGTAGGAATGCTTCTGGATGTGTATGGCACTGAGTGGGAAGGATGAAAATTTTGAGGAATTTTGCTCTGAACTCACCTCATGGTACAAGGTGTGGGAGAGAATCCGGAGGGTGCTCGAGGAAGGAGAAACCTGAGCCCTTTGCTTGACAACCTCGGATGGAACCCGTATGAGACAGGCAACCTGCAAAAGAACCTGGGGGTCAGGCAGCAATTGCTGGCTTCCTCTCATATAGCAAACACTTCTTCCAAGAATAGAAACCTGACAAATGAGGAAATCAGGTCTGTAATTATAGGACTTAAAAGGTGTTCAAGAACAGCTTTTGTATTTGTTCTGAGAGCCATGCACTTTCTGATCACAAAATTATACTAACAGGAGCATGGAAGCACCCTCAGAATTTTTAACTTTGAAAGCAGCAGTAGATTTGAGTTGAGAAAAGCACTGATAAAACCAAAATTTGAATCCATACTGTCTTTTGGCAGTCACAGGAATCGACTGTTCCCATTCCACAGGACTGTTCCCCCCACTTTCACAGATTTAAAGTGGAGATTCAAGACTGCAAGACCAACAAACTTCTTTCTTTGGTAATTCCTTTGTGCCCTCTAGTGACTGATAGTGGAAGCCATTCTGGTCAGCTTTAGACACAACATATTCCAAGGTTTACCTTAAAATACACACCATGCTTCATTCAAGGTAAAGCACTGGATTGATCCCTTCCTGCAAAATGAATTTACTGGATTCTGCAGCTGGATGTAATAATGTGGCTGCTGTCACAAAGCTCCAGCTTTGCTGAAAAAAGCCAGGCTTGGATTTTAAATATTCACCTGCCACTTTGGCTTGAGGTAGGGGTTAAGCTTGTGTGCACATCATTTCACAGAATGAGGATCCTGAAGTGTGGGAGTTACAAGCCCCTCATCTCTCTGGAAAATGCCTATTCATCAGCACTTAAAATTTTAAGCAGAGTTTGTCTGCAGTTGGCTCCAGGGATAGTTAAAGCAGTGATGGGACAGGTGGCAAAACACTGCAGATCCCACAGGCCTTTGCCAGATTTTTAGCCTGCCTTGAGACCACCCTGTGCTGGGCTCAGGAACACACTGTAGTTCCCAGACACAAAGGTGATCACAGAGCACTTCAAGTGCAGAGCAGCCCATGTGAAAGGTGTCCATCTGAAGTGGCAAACCAAGCAGCTAAGTGGGAAATCCATGTGTGCCAAAGAAAGTACAGGAATTCACTGGAGATTGCACAAACACAGTAACTTGAGCGGTCATTTGTGGGTAAGACAGTACAAGGTTTAAGTTTCATTTTCACAAAGACACCAAGAAAAAATCTGTTATCCTGTTACATCCCTACAAGTTTACTGGACAACAATATCCAAAAGTCATTACAAACAGATCTAACTCCATGTGCTCTTCAATTCTCAGGGTCAAAAATAACAAGTGACCCCAATCTGTCAAGAAAATAAGAACTGTCAAGTTTTTTTGATAGTTCAGCATAAATATTTATAGAACTTCATGCTTCATAACACTCTGTGTCCTTATATTAGCTTTTTATTCCTTAAAAATATGGAGGCAGGAGGAAAGCTTTAAAAAGGCTGGGATGAAAACAATCTAGTCAATCAAGACCAGACAAAGAGCTCAGCGTGGCTTCCTGACATCTGGGGTGCTGCAGTTTTGGCAGGAGAAGGGTGGCTACAAAGTAATGTCTCCATTTCCCCCGACTACTTGGGGTGCATTTCATTTCAAATTAGCTTTGATGTTTCTTCCATTTGAATTTGCGCTTACAAGGGAGTCTGTGGCTGCACAAGAACAAAAACAATGATTACACTGTGCTGTTCTGAAAGGAAATCAAGGCTCATGTCACCTGGGCAGTGCTGTCAGATTGGTTCCATAGGGCACTCCTGGTATTCAAAAAGGCTCGAGGTGCAGCTGCCAACATCAGACTGCACGGTGACATTTCCACTGTGCTCCTGAACTTACAGAGTGCCACCTTGTTTGTTCCTATACATGCACCTTCCTATCAACAACAACCCCAGCAGGCTTTTGATGTGGAGAGCAGGGCTCTGAAGGGAAGTATGCAAGATTAAGTTCACACGTATCTTATTAAAAAAGTACCAGCCTGGCTGGCGGGTGCAGAAGAATCTCGACTCTCTCACGCTCAGATCCCAATCGCTGCAGCACCCTCCAGGTAATCCTGCCCAAGGTGAGGAACACAGTGCAGCTCTCCAGGCTGTGCTTCCTTGGGCAAGGCTGTTCAAGCAGCACCAGTCTGGCAATACTGCACTGAGAGTCCACACTTCAATTTTGAGATGTGAAGCTATGAGCAGCTGGCACAGGGAGGGTGAGGGATGCAATGTGCAGCTGTCCCACACTCACACTTCCACCTGCATCCACCACGGGATTAACAGACATGGAACTCTGACAGTAACACAGGGGCCCAATCAGCTCCCTAAGCACCAAGGTCCCAGGCAGAAATTGCTTTTTAATCTCCTGGAGTTCACACAGATGTAGGCTGTTGCTTGTCACAGAGGAGCACAATACAGCCCACCAGGCTCGGGGCGTTCCTGGTGCATCCTGCTGGATTTGGGGGTGACCTTGTGGCAAATCAGCTCTGTGCTGAACATCCAGAGCCAGCCATGGAGAGGGTCCAGCAGTGAGCTCACAGCCACCTCAGCTGACATTAGAGCATCAGACAACAGCACCCCATTGACAGGGGCCACACTCATTTTCCCAATGAGCCAGGGGAGCCAGGAGCTATTCCCATCTTTTGATGGGAGCAAAAAGACAGAATCAGGATCCTGGGAAAGTTCAGGTGCTGCCCTATAAGCTCCTTCCTTATTTACCAGGTCAGGCAGCACAATGTCAATGCACATCTATACATACCACAGGGGCAGGAAGACAATAATACTGAAACAAAAGGCTCAAGAATTTTCAAATTTAAGCTATAGGAAAACCTGATTTTACAGCTATAACAAAGCTATTAATAGTTTACAGAGCAGATGTGCAGAAATGACAATATTAGCACCTATTACCTTTCCAGCTTTTTAATGCTATGATCACTTCTGAGCAACTGGGTACTGAATTTCAAAATCCTTGTCTCAAATAATTTACTGGGTCAGAGGGTGACTCCAGCATTCAGACAAAAACCTAAGTGCATTTTAAATTTAATTTTAATTTACTGACTTGCATTAGCCAGTCAGGAACGAAAGCTAAAAACAGGTGTATTTCATTAACATTTATCTATGTATTGCTAAGACCGTGTATGTTCTAATTAAATTAAGGTAATTCCTTTCCACTGTCAGCTGAGGGAAAAGCGTTTTAACTTTTGGGTACTCCTTGCACGAACCAACGCTGCCATCTCCTGGTGGGATTTATGTTGGAACAGACTGTCCTGGCTGTTCTGAAGAATTTTCTGCCAAGAAACTTTACATATACATATATATATAAATATATATATACATACCAATTAAAACAGTTTGTTTCAGTATAAATGTGACTGTAGCAAACAGAAAATCAGATCTGCTGTAAATAGCACCAGGAACCCGCCCAAAGCCTTTCCTATGGGCTCACCTAAGTTTACTGGAAACACCTGATCTTGAAACTGGAACTTCTGCATGGGGCCAATCTCCACCTAAAGTTGGAGCAGCTGTTCAGAATCAGGCAGATTCATCTAATTCAGCACAGTACCCAGCACTTTTCTTTATATAATAAAAAAGAACAAAGAAAGCAGAGTCCTGCTTACACAGAGGCTCAGTGCAATGGGACAGTGCCAACATCTTCAGAAAAGAACACAACAACTCCTCGACTTCAGTGCCATATTATGATCCAAATATTAACATATCTTATTTGGATTAACAGCCTTTTCCTTCCACCCTTTGTACTCCAGGAAAAGTGTTTTCCCCCTGGCTGGATTTGTAGGGTTTGGTAGAGAATCAAAGATAACACACACATTTGTTTTTAGGCACCTCCACTACAGTTTGACCACTAACTGTGCACGAGGTGTACCCAGGAATATTTGGAAGAGGACAGAGCAGGTACCATAATTTCTGATGGTCAGAATTGCCCATAAATTCTGATGGTCAGACCATAACAGCTGATGGTCTGACTCACACTCCCAAAAGCTCCCCCAGCCATTAAATCTGAGCACTCGTTATCTTTACCAAGAGACAGATATTAGCCCTGCTGTAAGAGCCTGCTGAAGTAAGAGCCCCATTTCAGGGGCTGATGAGCTCCTGGCTAATGAGCTGGACTGTTCTCTGCAGTAACCTGGGCTTAGGTGAGCATCAAGACCAAATATTTTCCCACTTATTAATTAGCCAGCCATTCTGCTCCACAGCAGAAGGGCAGTCTGAGGACAAAGCCCTGTTCTGGAATTTGTGATTTAGGAACCTGCACTCAGTGACTCTGAGCAAATCTCTGCCTTGCATAGCTAAATTATTAAATTCTCTACTTAATTGAAAATTAAGTAGAGAAACAGGGAGAAAGCTCCAGAAATCTTGTATTTTGATTCAGCCTTAAACCATTTAGAACCCTTTCTAAAGGATTTTGATATTTAAATTTCTCAAGCAGGATATTAGTTTTAGGGACTTTATGTGCCTGGGTAGGCTAGGAAGCTTTAATTGATGTTCCCCATATTAGTTCAATACTAAACACAAAACTAAAGGAATATGCCTGGGGACAGTTTCTCTTAAATGTCATTTGCAAAGTTTATTCTTAATCAAATAAGAATATAATTTATGACACCATAAAATTTTGCATCCAGAGAGCAGAAACTTTAGGCTAAACCTCATAATACCTGTGCAAGATAATCACTAACCCATTAGGGAGGAAAAGCTGCTGCACAAAAATGACAACAACAAAGATGCTATGATTTATCAAAGGACATATGTTTAGGCTGCAGTCAATCTGCTAACAAAATCCTAATCTCTCACCCCATTTCTGAAGGTCAGAAAGATTGCCTGCTGAACAGAATGTAAAATAAGAAAGAAAAACAGAACAACTCTAAGATCCTGTTCAAAGAGAAGCAGCAATAAATTGGGATTTTTGGGGGTTTTAAGTGCAACCTGCTTTAGCCCTGACTATACTGCTGCAGACAAAAGCTACTTTGGAGCTCAAGTTTGTTTTGTTGCTGATTTTCTGTGTGTTCTGTTTCAAGGGGTTTTTTAAATATTAAAAAAATGCTGCTTCTAAAAATAGGTTAATATGTCATAATCTGAACATCTCAGTTTCTATGTCAAATGCCCCCTTCTAAGTAGGCAGTTACTATTTTTAATCTGAAACATGAAAAATGTCCTTTTCCCTTTCTAAGATAACTGAATTATTAAATTAATAGGCAAGTTTAAAATTTAAAAATCTTAAATTGCACTGATTTCCTCTGGATCTGGAGAATAAAAGGGAAATTTCCCTCTTGGTTCATATCAAAGGCTCTCAACAAAACTTGAATTCAGCACTGCAGCTTTCCATGCCTCTCCAAACTCAGTAAATTTATGCTTGGTTATTCAGCTCTCCCTGGGATGCCTCTCTTCAATAGAAGGGAAAAACGAATGCAATATTACGAGATTAGCAAAGTATTTCATCCTCCAAATAACTGCTTCTAACTGTGGTCACAGCTCTAGGGTTGGAAACATTAGCTAGCAGGGAACATAAGCTGTGAGCTGCAGATGGAAGATGAACTGCCTCACCCTCCCCACCACCAGGAAAACGAGCAGAAAAGAGGAGGAACACTAAATATCCTCATATTCATATATATGGTTTCATATATTCCTTGGACAGAGCATCTGAACTGCTGCAATCACAGACCCAAAACATTTCAACCACCAATAAACCTTCATGTAAATAATTGCTGCCCTTTTGAGAAAGACAGAACACACAGAGAACCCAGAATAGAAGTGTTAACTCATATTTTAATGAGGGAATTGCCTCCAAGGATGACAGAAACTGCCCCCTACATGTACTGTCCACTCTCTTTAAATGCCAGCCCCTTCAGCACAAAGCCTCAGAATATGCTAAATCTTAATTTCCCCCCCACAGCACAGAGTGCCCTTCCAGCACAGTGAAATCTGTCCTGTGTAAAGCTGCTGGGGTCACCAACAGGTGACTCCACTCCTAATTTAAACCCCATGGAGAGAACAAGTTTTGACTAACGGGCTCTGGTTGGGGAAGTTTAGACAATACCAAGCTCTTTGTCCCATCTTTTCCTCCGACTGACACAACAAGGTCTTCATTAATTTAACTGCAGTTCCCCTGTATGCTGGTAGGAAACCTTTCTTCAAAGAACAATCTCACCCAGCAAGATCCCTCAGATCTCAGCACCTCCTAGAGCTTAACAACATATTATTTCAGAGATGAGACCATTCACAGGGACCAAATGTCACAAGCATTTGGAAAACTGGAGTTTCTGCACAAACACTTTCAACTTCTTCCACGTTCCCACCTTAGATGACTTTACCTGGAATCTGCAGAGCTGTTTTGCAGATTTATTTCATCCTGACATTTTCAAATCTATGACAGCAGCTTTATTCCTTCCCAGAGCTGCCTCCTTCCTGCTTCAGAGCCATCATCTGCACCACCACACACTTGTTCCTTCACAATGGCCATCTTGGCTGAGCCTTTTCACCTCAGCTGCCTGAAATCCCCAGCTGGCTCCTCATCCATCATTTCAGGAACCCTCACAGGGCTATTGGGCTTCTGCCCCTCTCAGATTTCCTTCCCCACACATGGCTCTTCAATTGCCCAGATCCATTCCCAGCAAAGCCTGCTGTGGGTTCCCTGCCTACCTTTCCTTTAGCCATGTCAGATACACCTCAGAAAACTTTTGTCCTCCAGCAGTGGGAATTTGTGCCAAGCTCTGTTCACAGCAAGGAGAAATCTTACTCCAGTTACATCAGCTGACAGGCAGAGAACAGGGAAAGCTTGTGAATCTGACAGGGCTGACACTAAAAACTGCTTTGCAGAAGTACTTCTCACTGCAGATGTTTTGAAAGTTTATGTGCTTTGCATAAATCTTTTAACATTTAAGCAATGTAGAGTTTTGTTTCCTTTTTAAAACTACACCTAAAACTTACCAGAAGTAGCTTGATGTTACACACCTCTTGTACTCCAGCACAAACTGCGTCCCAGAGATTTTGAATTTCCCCAGTGCAATCACAAGCAGTTGGTTTAAACTCAAGCAGTAAAATCAGGCAGCTGAATAAGTTGAAAAAAATCTTCCTTAACCTGGTGGATGCTTGAATCATAAATTATTACCATATTTAAAGACAGAAATCTTTAAAACCTAAGAAAAAAAAGACCCTTAAGTCAATGTACAGAACCATCTGCATGATCCAATCTATTCCAGCAACACTTTCACCATGAAAGTCTGTTAAATTTATTTTAAAAGGCTTAAGAACTCATTAAATCCAGCAGCCAAACCGTTCTTTCAGCAAAAGTGGTGTGGTGCATCCCATCCAGCATAAAACCGTTTCCAAGCAGCCAAGTGGGGTCAGGCTGTGTTACAGGAGGACAGACAGTAATGAGATTCCAGGCAAGAGAACACAGGCAGTATTTTCTGAAAACACATTAAGTCTCCTGTTGAAAGAAGACTAGTATTTTGCAATTTGCTCACTCTCTTGGGGTTACATTGGCCCAGAACATGGAAATTTCAACTACATTGTATTTTATTAAGTATTTTTCCTTTAATTGATCCCTTACTCTTTCCTTCAGCCTTTTCACTTAAAGAATTATGGGCTTGTCCACATATGGAGCTATTCAGAGTTATCCCTGACAAACTCTGCATAGAATATTGGTTAAGGTAAGTTTATTCCAAAGTGTCTCAAACATTTCCAAAACTGACTCGTACAGTAAGTCAGGCAATCCATCAGGAAATACTTTTAAATCACTTACTTCTCACTTATAACTTTTTAATCCAAATTTTCTTTCCTCTGAAGATACTCTGAGCTACAAATACTTTTAAATCAACTGATTATCAGCCCTGTGATCAAAAGACATGACAACCATCAAGCTGTACTGAAAGCAGCATGTTCTCTAAGCCCTGAACCTAGCAGGTAACACAAAACAGGGTGGGGAGAGCAGCTGATGAAGAAGATGCAGTTAGCATGGAGCATACAAGAGAAGTTCAGTGTGGGTGGCTGGCTAGGGATTTGACAGTTCTTAATTTGCTGTTTCAGCCTCTAATTGCATGATGAATTTGTTGGCAGCATTTGTGGATTCATGTCCCCATTCATCTTTATTTACAACCAATTCCCAACTTCTGCTCTGAGTTTCCATCCGTTCTCTGTTCTTTCTCCACTACCTCTCAAAGGCAGCAGTCTCACCTTCCCAATCATCTCCTAACCACTGCTTCTGCATCAGGATTCAGCAAAAATCCCACAGCATCTGTATTGCAGACCTGACCTCACATAGAATAATTTAAGAATATTTCAAACCCCACCACGATTAATTCAGAAGACCACCTACATTGCTGCACTCCCCACCACTGCTCATCTTGCCAGGGTCAGAGTATTCCCTTTCTCAAAGCCTGTGTGCAGCCAGATTTGAACAGCACAAAAGGCACACTCACAGCTAAAATGACAGGCACAGATCAGTGAAAACAGAAAAAAAAGTTTCAGTATTGTGGAAAAGATCCCATCACACTTTGACTGCTGTCATTTGCACACTACTTATGATCTGCCAGCACATGCCACACTGCTTGAGAGGAGATAGGATGCAAAGTACAAAATGCAGAACAGTTTTGTCCATTTATTAGGTCAGTTTTTAGAAAAAGGATAGCTAAAATATTCAAAGCCATTAGCCCAAAGTCTAGATACAAGTACTTTATTGCTTCTTTGCTGAACTAAAATCAGCTCTCCCTAGAGTGTCCAACTTTCCTGTTGAACTGAAAAGTCACATCTTCCAACACTGCAAGTTTTAGAGTTTGAAATACCTAAAATCTTCACTTCATGTCTGATGTGAGTGGCTGCCTTGTCTCTGTTAGATTTGGCTCCTGCAAGCTGATTTTCCAGAGCTTACCATGCCGTAAAGCCCTGGCCAATTATCCTGCTGGAGATTTTCATTCCATTACTCTGCAGATTTGTCTGATTCATGCTTCTGCCTTTTCCTCAGAACAGGCATTAATAACAACTTTCTTCTCTGACCTAGCCAGTTACTCTCCTGGAATTCACACCAATACACTTTTGGAGATTCCCACTCTTCTCTTAAACTGAAACTAGTTAATTGTTCCAAGCAATGCTGCCAGGGCAGAGGGACAAAGTGGGTGGTTTGTGGACAGAGGCAGACAACAGTGTTGTCCATCATATCTAGAATGCCTCTTTTATGCAGAAAAAAAACCCCACAAGCATAAAGTAAGGTAAAACATACACATTCCTCTTCTATTGGAATTAAAAGCACACTTTAAATGTCATTTTACAGAATCATGATTTGAAAAACTGTAAACTTGCTTGCATTTGAGCTTGCTTCTTCTAAGAAACAAGTTCATACTAGAAGAGAAGGGTAAATGAATTCTCCAGAAAGATAATTCCTGCATTAAGAAGGTTTCCTATTTGATACAGCCCAACAGCAGATTAAAAAATTCCAAAGTTATTAATATGAAGGGTCAGATGTTAATCATAGATGAACCACACACTTTGCTGTTATCGCAGAAGTCCCTCAAGTAGTAACGCACTGGAATTCCAAGTGAACTTGGAATTTCACCTTGAAATACCTGTCCTCACCTTGCCCTGTGGAGTCACATGATCCCCTTTCCCACTGAAGTGACAAATTTTTGAGCTTTTCAAATCTCCAGACTTTTAATCCTGAAGTACTCTAGAAACTTGCACAAGGACAAAAGCAGCTCAGTGACCTCAGCTGGTGAAGGTCCAGAGCAGGGTCATTCCCACCAGCTGCCAAAAGAACAGGACATCTCCCTCCCATGCTGGCCCTCGGTCCTCCCCCACACTTCCTCTCTGGAAGTCAAGGTAGTTTGCTGTCTTGCAAAGTAGGGGAAAAAAAAGAAAGACAATGTCATCCAAAATAGCTAATCGAGAACAAAAGGTCAGAAAGATAAGAGTGAACCTACAATTTCAGGCAACAACCCAAAACATCCACTAATATCCTGCAAAGCTCATATTGTAACCATAACAATATCTAAATATTAGATGGGAAAGGGCTGTTGTCAGCTCCCTTCTCTGGAATGTGAGCCAAACAACTTTATTCTCACCTCCATGGAAAAGGGATGTAAAATTATCTGTGCTGAATCCAAATTAGCTGTGCTGAAACCAAATTAGCTGTGCTGAATTCGGCACTCCTGAGTGAAACCTCATTGGTCAAACAGGAACAATCTTAAACTTGTCCCATAAAATCACATTTGCAGGAGCTTGGTGGGAGAGGCTCAGAGGGGGAACTTCTATTCAGCAAAGTTGCTTGTAATTAATACACACACTCATATTAAACTGACATTAAAAAATCTGTACAGTTAACTCTGGGCCTGCAAGACACACCTGGTTACTACTGAAAATAGGCACTAGGAGCTTAAAAATGCTGCTCCTTCTCAGAGTTACTTGTACCACCTTAGAATATTAAAAGTAAAATTTCAGAACATCTGGTTTTCCTTTCCACTCCCTATGATATCATGTTTTCCAAGCACATTTGGCAACTCACTCTAAAGATACAGGCAGACTAAACATACAAGGCAAAGCAGAGTCAAGATGAAAAATTCCAAAGTCCTGGATGCAGTAAGTGTGTTTTCTATCTCCAGATTTCAGTTACACAAGTGGTATAATAAGGGCTTTTCCCCCACTGAAAATTCATGTATCCTTCAACCTTCTCCTTCCTTGATGAGATGATACAACACGTATCTGCCCTCTAGAGTTTTGGATGTGCTTTTGTAAGCAGTTTTTAATATATTATGGGATAGTTAGAGTCCCGATACAGTGAGATTCAGTTGTAGGAAAAAATAATTATGCTTAGCAGTCTCAGATTTTGCATGTACTTTTCTTTATCTCACTCTGGGAGATGAGATTAGCTTTCTATATTCCTCCTGCCTAAAAGGAAAAAAAAAAAAAAAACAAACCAAAAACCAACAAACATTGCTACAACCCCTGCCTTTTTATTGCCTGGCTTTGTCTCTCCCAGCCTGGAACTGGAAAAATGAACCAAACCAGTTCCTGGGGACTGTTTCTCCTGTAAATTCCACAGCCTGCAAATAATACAGGAAAGTGGCTGTTTTAAAAACTAGAAGTTCCCATTTGACCAATTTCTCACATATATTTTATCATATCTTGAAGCTACATTTTTATCTCTTCCTCTTTACCTATTTTATTATTTTTAACAGATCACATTCAAAACACAGATCAGTCAGCACAAACACACATTTAAGGTTTGCACAAACTCACATTTTATTGATGCACAAGAAGGTATCTGACTCATTTATACTCACCAGTGAAGGAACAGCAAACCTAGAAATGCATCAACACTGTCTTGCTCTAAATTCTAATTTCTCTGTTTTGTAAAAAAACAGTGTGGAAATGCAAAGACATGCCTTAAGAATCCTAACATGACAGTCTCTGGCTTAATGCTTCACATTTAAAAGCAATTTAAATCATGAAGTATAAAATGGAAAACAAGTACACATTGTCAAAAAAACTACTGACAAAATAATAGTCCCAGTGGTTATGCCCTGATTGAAACTTAATGACTAATCAATAGAACTGTAATTATAACTTTCTCCCTGATGCAATTTGGACTAGTTTATATATTTCTATTGCTCAACTAACACTTTACATAAAACATACATGAGAAGGTCTTGCTTTGTGGTATTTTATTACAGATTTGTTGTAGCAAATCTCTAAATATCAATTTCTAAATATCAAGTATCAGTTATTTTAGAGCTTAGTCCTCTCCTCACACCCATCACTCCAAGAGGAGAAGTAAAGCTATCAAAAACAGGGAAACGAGGTGGAAAATGGCTGTTACAGCATTGTAATTCCCACACCATAAAGCCACTCTGCCATTTCAGTGGCTACCATCACACATTTCTCTGGCCTTAGAGCAGCCAGAGCACGTGAGACAGCCCTGAGCAGCTCATTTACCTGTGCTGCACCCCCTCTGCCAGCCCCAACAAGAAATCACCAAGTGCCTGAGCTGTAAAGGTCACAGACCAGCACAGGGAACAAATGGCAACAGGTTCTGTTGGAAGGAGTCATCTGTAGCCAACTGGGCTTTGGCTGCTGCTGATTCAATTACTGGGTTGTAATTTACTCACAGCATCCTCACAGGCACAGGGAGTGTGCCATGAATAAACTATTCCACAAAGAAGAGACTTTTTCTTCTGGTGGATTTTATTGCAAAGTGTTGGCACCTCTTGATGAGCCTCATTGCTATTTTGCTTGATTCTGCAATAGCACTTGAGAAGCTCCAAAGACCTCCTGGATCTGCTGTTCCAAGACACATCAGGCAAACAAGGAGTTTTAGGGCTGTGCATTGGTGGTAAACAACCTCATGCTGATTTTTAACAGCCTTTAGACAATCTTCATGGAAATATGTTCTGTGCATGGCCTT